TAAATTGGCTCAAATTTTATGGGTGTTACATCCACTAACCTCCAACTTATACAACCCGGAACCTTGAATCATCCCAACTATTGACGATGAACGAGAAACAACCAACGATCGATAATGCACTGATGACAAGCTTGTAATCAAATTTTATGCTGAACTAAGCCAATGCGGAACTACACAACCAACTCTGAAGTTGTTTGACAGGTCAACCACTACTTATCTTAGACTATAGGTAGCAATTTATACATCGAGCTGACAAATCCTCCAATCACTGTTACTTGACCTGAGCGATCTAACCACCTTTTGATCGGTTCATCTGCATCCCCGAACGGGACCACTGACTACAAAGAGCTTCTTGACCAACAACTTCTTGCCATGAAGACAACTCATGTATTTCTGAGCACATACATCTGATGGAAACTTGCTCTACACCTTCGTCTCGAACCAAGGTCTCGCATACTCAAACCATCGATCCCTGTAACCCATTTTTCTGAAACCATAAACCCGAATAGATCGATGATCTTCCAAGTAGCATACCTAGTTCTCCCCCACTTGGGTTTGAACTATCAGCAACGGATGTTGCAAACAAATCACACTTCAAACCAACTCAACCATATTCATACCCTTTCTAACTCTAGGAATGTATGACACAACACACAATGATCTTTCAGATAAAGACCAAGCAAACTCAAAGACATTCTGAATCTCAGATGGAGACCTCAAAAACTTCCCAATCATAACCTCCTCTATCAACAAGAATCCCATGTACATGCACAAGAAATAACTTTGTTAGTCCATTCATACCACTGATTCTCTATCCAAGAACAAATGGACTACCACACACTTCGCCTATGAATCCCTAACCATCACTTCATTGCGAAAAATCAATCATGGAAATAAGGGGCATCATCCTTGTAGTTGAGATACAACATAGACAACGAAATTTGTCGTTCCCTATTCACTTCTCCTGATCACCTGGAACAACCTGCTGGAATACGCTCTAACTGAACTCAAGAAGGCATACCCTTGTCGCAGATACCGCAACCATCTAGTCACCCACTGGGTATACCTTCCAAACTATAAAATATTTGTAACATCCCAAAAATACAGATAAAATTTTGTTTTTAAATTCATTCAATTCATAAGAAACTGATATCAAAATAGTCGAAAGAGTATAATTGTAACATGTTATCAGAGTACAAATTCCCAAAATGACTAAGTGCAGAAAGAGATAGAGTGATGCGGTGCGATCATGTCGGGCCCTTCCCCTTCGAACTGGAAGTACCTGAAACATAAACTGAAAACTATAAGCACAAAGCTTAGTAAGTTCCCCCAAAATACCACATACTAAACAAACATACTGCCAAACATAACTTGGTGCTTGCCTACCCCTTCGGTCTATTTTAACCGGATACTGCCAAGTATATCTGGGTGCTTGCCTACCCCTTCATTCCATTTCAACCGGATACTATCAAGCATATATGGGTGCTTGCAATCTCCTTCGGTCTATTTCAACTGGATACCGAGTCTATTTCACCCCTACTACTACAATATAATATCATAACAGAAATCACAGAGTCATCAAGCAAATACAGGCATAACTGACAATTGTCACAAAGACAATCATCACACTACAACATAAACTAGTGGGCCGGCCTTGGTGTCTTCGACCCACAGATACTACGAAGGAAGACTCACCTCAGACTGTGGGTATCAAGTCTCACTTAGCGGATGACTCGTGAACTCCTCTCCCTAATGTACAAGCATAAAACCCTAATTATAAATTAGGTCACATTCTAACCCGAAAGTCCAAAACCCTAATTCTTGACTTAAGGCAAAAAGGGCTTCTTTACTTTAGCCTCATTGGGCCTCCCTCCTCCCGAGACCTAAATCCAATCAAAGTCCAAAAAGGGCATCCAAGCCCAACTATAAGGCCTCTAGGGCCCAGTATGGCCTAAGAACCCCAAACATGGCCTTAGGCCCAAAAACGACATGCCACAATCAGGTGGGCCCGAGGCCCAACTTAATCAAGTCCAAAGCCCAACACCAAACGAGCCCAAAAATCTTCTAGGCCCTCTAACTGCATACGCGCGACGTACTTGGCTTGTACGCCCAACGTACGCTGGTGTTGACCAGGAGTCGGGATGCTGACCTAATACGCGCAGCATACACTGGAGTACGCATGGCGTACTGGTCTGCCAACCCAAACCCACTACCATGACTTAATCCATTAAGTCCTAACCTCTAAACTTAAATCTAAGCCCCTAATAACATCTTAAGCCATAAAGTTGCAAACTTTATGCTTTTGCATGCAAGGATGGGGCTCAAATCATGAATTAAGTCCATAAGCACACTTGGATGGTTACAAACAGTTGCAAGGTTGAGGCTTAACCATCAAGATCTGATTTTTATGACTCAAAACACTTACAAGAGTCCAAAAGGACAACTCATATGGTCTGAAGTTGCTCATACTCCAAGAATCCAAACTATGGGACCAAAAGATACCATTTTCTATCCTAAACCTAGATCAAAGCTTGCAATGATCAATGTTCAAACTTTATACCTTCAATGGGCTAGAAATGGTGCCAAACTTTTGGATCTACAAGCTCATTCCTCGTCCTTGCTTCTTCCCAAGCTTCCTTCTCCTTCAAAGTCACTAAGGAACACCACAAACACTCAAGAAAGCTCAAAAATGGACTCAAGGTGGCTTAGGGTTCGAGATTTGCATTACAAGAACAATGGAGGATGAAAAGGTAAGGGACTTGAGGGACTTAAGGTCCTTAAATAGGGTGCAAACCATAAAAATTAGGGTTTTCCCCTGGCTTGGTTACGCCCAACGTATGCATGGGTACGCACAGCGTACACTGAGGATCCCCTTTTGGCGCGCATGCAGCGAGTACAACATACATACATAATGTACGCCCAACGTACTCACCATCCTTCACCACCTTAACTTGAATTGAAAATAGACTAAGTCAGAAACTTCATATCCGACGATTCGGGTACTACAGTATTATGCTCGCTCTCTCTTCCCTCCAACACGGAAAACTATAAGAACTGAATCTCTGTCATAGAAAATGACATCATAAGCCATCGTTCGGTCACTTGACCTCAGGCTGCAATCCTCGGGATGCTCATCATAGTAATGGGGCGTGCCGATTGGAGGAGTTCCCATCGACCCATTTCAAAATCGGGTTGGTTATTATTTGGACAATATTCCAGGAGCGGTGCATTACCAAAATCAGGTGTTGGATGGTATTTATTCGCATTTTCACATTGAATGTCCGCCACTTATGCCACCGCAAGCTCACTACATATCAACATGGGTGAAATTTGGGCTCCCATGAACTTTAGGGTCGGATCGAGTGTAGCACGAGGAGATCAAGATGACAACTAAATGACTTATTATCCTTTTTAATTTTATTTAAATTGTCATCCAAAATCAAAATTACATAAAATGTATGTTAAAATAAGAATTTATTATTGAAACTTTATATATGAAATGTTCCTCCTAAATCCTATGCTCGAAAATCAGAAGAAAGGAAATAAGACGAAATAGATAAAGGTTCACGTCTGGTACTCTCCAATCAGAAAAAAAAAGATGAGATGGTTACCTATGGGGCAGAGCTGGTGGTTGTAGCGGCGCTCTAACGGGTGGAGGCTGGCCAACTACAAAGTAGGGAGTTTGGTGCGAAGGTGATGGTGTCTGATGAAAGAGCGCCGAAGAGAAGAAAGAACGAGATGAGGTTTGGGGCATAGTTGTCTTTCCAACCAATTCAGTCAGAAAAGATATGATTTTGAGGTTTTATGAGAAAGACATATCTTACCGAGAAATATCTATTTTTTATGAAAATCAAATAGTCTTTCCGGTCCATTCAGTCATAAAGATCTATTTGGAATTGAAAAAATGTCTATGAAACGAAGCCTAACTCTTTTTATTGTAGTGATCATTTTATGTTAAATTCTAAATAAATATTTCATTTTTTTTTTTTTTTTGGGAACGAAAATATTTCATTCTTTATTAACTATACAATTATACATTATATCTTTCACAGAGATATCAAATATATTTATACATAACTCAACAATATATTTTTAATTTAATTTTAGATTATTTTCACAAATGACATCTTAGATTAAAGCTAAAAGTGACTTCTTAGATTTGTTTGTGTATTTCGGTTTATTTATCCATAATAAATAATACATCTGAAAATTCATTTCATAATTTATTCATTTATTCTTTTATGCGTTTTAACCAGCATGTCAAATATACCAACAAAAAGTATATTTCTATGATATTTTTATCTTAATATTAAAATATAAATATTAAATAAACTATTTAAAGAGTTCTATTAATTTACATGTTAGTACAAAATAATTAAGTTTTTCGAGGTAACCCGAAAACAGTCTCCCCGATCTCTCTCGTAAATGTTGCCAGTCTTCGTTTTGTTGAACTCTCGGATAATCGAGTGTCATCCTTCAACTTGGAGTCAAAATTCTTAAAATAATCTGAGGAAACAACTCAAACAAGAGAAACACCCCCTACGCTTACCCCCCACCCCACCCCACCCCACCCAAATCACCTCTCTTACACTTTATTCTCTTCAAATTCGATTCCTTCTTATAACCGGAACAAGTTTTATAGCAGTGAAGAACACCACCTCACTGTGACACGCACGCACACAAACACACACACTCTTCTCTCTCTACATTCTCATGTTCAGTCAATCTCTCTCTATATATATGTATAATTGTATATGTATATCTATTGATATATTCTTGAATTTGCCCCTTTGTTTCTTTGCCTTTCTTCACGCTATGTTTCTTGTGTACGCAACAACTGCTCAGAAACTATCACATTCTTCTCTTTCATCCAAATTTTCACAGGAAAGGTTCAATTGTTAGGACTTAATTCGTTTGAATCCAACATTAGAATCATAAGTAAGCCCTTAATTTCTTGTAAGTTGTATTGTGGGCATTTATGTATATCAAGTTTTGGAACAATGAGAGAAGAAAACTGCAACAAAAACAAGGTTTGTTTGACCAAAATGTAGACACTTTTTGACTGCGGTTTTGTTTTCTTGAATTGATTAAAAAATTTGACTTTATGTTTGATGGTGATTAATGGTGCAGATTTCATGGCCAAAAACACTCAAGAAATGGTTTACATTCAAGAACAAAGCTGAAGACTTCCATGCAGATGACTTCAACCATCGAGGTGATGTCTTGATTTCTTCATGGGTTGTATCTATTTTAGGGTTCTAAATTATTTGGGAATTTTCTGTTTTACTCTTTGAATTGTCTTTTGGGAACATGACTTGACTTACTGTTGCTTTATTTCTGGATCAATCAACCAATATTTTTGTAAAACCTTTCTCTTTGCAGCTCAAGATCTGTTCTTGTTTCCTTGTTTCTGTATGATCTTTTATGAGTTGTTGGTGTTGTTTATTTAATTCTAATTCCATTTCTAGAGGGGTGGGCCCACAACATATTTGTTGGATTATGTGTGGTCTTGAATCTTGAAACAATGCAGTGGAAATTATACAGCTTTTAACAACTTACCCTTTTTCAGATTATGATTTCTATGATAAGGAAGTGTGCATCATCAACAAAAACAGAAGAAGAGGTGCATTTTCAGACTTTAGGACCACATTCTAACTTAGACCCCACTTTTATTTTATTTTATTTTATTTTTATCTTAAGTGGTCGGAAAAAAAATATTTTTTTAACTTTCTTTTGTTTCACTTTTTTATGCCGTCTTGATCTGTCACATATCTCACAACATTTGTGCTATTGAACAGAGAGATCAAGCAAGAAGTATGCTCCCCAAGTGAGAGATGTCAATGATTATAGGTCTGTTTCATTGTTTCAATAGTGACACTAATTCACTCTTTATTCCAATCTGTTTTCTCTTTCCGATTTAAGATTCTTTATGTTTTATTTATTGGGTTCTTTTTTTAAACTGCAATAGGATCTTTGTAGCTACATGGAATGTGGCTGGAAAATCACCAACAAGCTCTGTAAATCTTGAAGATTGGTTGCATACTTCACCTCCTGCTGACATTTACGTTCTTGGGTGAGTTAATAATGGTATATCAATTATCAAATCTTGATCTTATTAATCATGTTAAATTTGACACCTTTTTAAAAAAAAACAGGTTTCAAGAAATTGTCCCTCTAAATGCCGGAAATGTCCTTGGAACAGAAGACAACGGACCCGCTAAAAAGTGGGTAGCCCTCATTCGAAGAACACTAAACAGTCTTCCAGGAACAAGTTCAGAATTAAATTCAGATTTTGAAGGATCAAAAACAGAAAAGAATCCATCTTTCTTGAATGGACCTTCAAGTTGTAGCATGAGGGTAATGAAGTGTGAAATGGGTAACCCACAACCAAGGCTCACACGTGGATACAGTGTCAATGGTTATGACCCGAATCTTGGATCTTTAGATGATGACAATGATCCAGATAGCATACACTCACACATACCGTATTGTGGTGGGAACTCTAGCTACTGTTTGGTTGCAAGTAAGCAAATGGTGGGAATATATCTTACAGTTTGGGTAAAAAATGATCTTAGAGATGATGTGCGCAACATGAAAGTATCATGTGTTGGCAGAGGATTAATGGGTTATCTTGGAAACAAGGTAAAAAATTTGTAGTGTGTTTGGTGTACATTAGACAGAGTGTCTAGGATTAGGAACAAACCAAAAGACATGAATGCCCTCCTCATCCTCACATAAAAATAGTCGAGTTTTGTCCTGTGTAACAAATCCAGGTGAAGGGTATAATTTGGAGAAATTTTAATTTACATTACCAAAAAAATTTCAGGGTTCAATCTCAATTAGCATGTCATTGCACCAAACAAGCTTTTGCTTCATATGTAGTCACTTGACATCGGGTCAAAAGGAAGGGGATGAGCTGAGAAGAAATGCTGATGTCATCGAAATCCTACGAAAAACGTGGTTTCCAAGAGTTGAAGGAACAAAAGATGAGAAATCTCCTCAAACTATACTCGAGCACGAGTAAGCCCAAATTCTTACTGTTTAATGACTTCGAGTTTTCGATGCTAAAGTTTTGTTTTCTTGAGTGTAGTCGAGTAATATGGCTTGGTGACTTAAATTACCGGATTGCCCTTTCTTGCCGATCTGCAAAGGCTCTTGTTGAGGCGCGTAATTGGAGGGCATTGTTGGAAAATGACCAGGTAAGCCTCAGTTATATGGCACTTCATGTGTATCTTTAATGACGCCTACATGAAATGATCGATTTGTTTCTTTCTGTTTATAGCTTCGGATTGAGCAAAGGAGTGGACGTGTATTTGGTGGATGGAATGAAGGGAGGATAGATTTCCCTCCCACTTATAAGTATTCAAATAATTCGGATAGATATGCATGTGATGATATACACCCTAAAGAAAAGAGAAGAACTCCCGCATGGTAAATCCTCTTTTTGGGCTTTTTGTTACACTCATATAAATGTGTAGAAAATACAAGGATATTTTTGCCCCCATAAAAATTTGAAAAAGTAAAAGAATTGGTAAACTATCCGTGCAAATTATTTATGCATCGAAAATACAAGAATCTTTCAGTCACTTTGCAAGAAGAAATGATTTTGGATAAAAAGTATAAGGAGTACAATGTTACTTTTCTATTTACATATTCTTGAAAATGATGATTATTTTGTAACATAATGATTAATGCTTTAAAGGTGATCTTTCTTTTATGGAATCATGAATACTATTGACAAGTGAATATTTGTTATGAAGGTGTGATCGGATCTTGTGGTATGGTAGAGGACTTCATCAAATATCTTATGTTCGTGGGGAGTCTAGATTTTCAGATCATAGACCCGTGTGTAGTATATTTATAGCAGAAGTTGAATCTATCAACCGTTGCAAATTCAAGAAAACCACAAGTTGTTCTTCCCGTATTGAGGTCGAAGAGCTACTACCATATCTACATGGATACTGACAGTGACAGTGACAGTGACAGTAACAGTGACAGTGACAGTTTAGTTTTGTACTGCGTTTGGCGTGCATTGAACTAGGAACAAAATTGTAACTTTTTTGCCCCTACCGGCTCTCAATCTCTCTTCTGTGCAAAAGAGGTGAATCCCCCCACAGATTTGCAGTCGTTTTTTCAAGAACACAACACAAAAACAAATATAAGTAAAAGAATCAAGTCTGATGCATTGGCTGAGAGCGTGAAGGTGGCTTGGTTATGTGGGCAAACTTTCGTTCTTATTTGTGGATATGATAGATTTTTGACATATTTACCTTGGTAAATTGATAGAGGAATAGGATATGAGTCTCTTGATGTAACTTTACATGGGTAATAAAGTCATTTTGTATGATAAGAGGTCTAGGTTTTGTTAAAGATGCTGTTGGGTTTTTGATGGATTCTTTTGTACAGAAAAGTGGAATTCTTATTGCAGAAGTAAAGGGCTGAGGGCTTTACATTTTTTGCTCCAAATATTTATACAATATATACTTTGAAAGTTGTACTGTTAAAAAGTTAAAGATTGACAGTTGTGTATTTTAACGTGATATAAATTCTTAAGATCAATTCGTATTAGGTTTGGATTTATTTTATCATGAATTATATATTAAAGGTTATATAGGGAAATAAAGAAATGTTTTACTTTTGACAAAGTCAATTTAAATGTTATATGTTGAGAAATGGGGACTACAAGAATCGCTGAAAAGGCTGTGAAACGGAAATCAAAAAACATAAAGTGATGTGCTATATTCTCTATTTTTTTTAAACTTTTATATATTAAACAAATATAGTGGATTTAAAATAATTAGATAAAAAATTATTTAATTAGTTAGATGATAAGTTAGGTAAAAATCTTTAAGAATGAAAATTAAAGAATAACATTTGAATAAATACATCTTAACTAGGATATCGACTTGGACTTATTTGTAAGAAAAATTATTATTTAGGTAGGTTGATATGATCCCCGCTTTGCAGGGGAGTAATAATGGTTTGTTGAAATGTAAGATAAGTGGAGTAATAATGGTTTGTTGAAATGTAAGATAAGTGATGTGTAGGGCTGTAAACGAACTGAACGTTCAACGAACTGTTCGTGAACCGTTCGGTGGGAAGTTCGTTTATTTAATAAACGAACGAACATGAACACAAATTCTCGTTCGTTTAGTTAAACGAACGAACATGAACAATGGTCTCGTTCGTTCAATTATGTTCGTGAACGTTCGTTCAATTATGTTCGTGAACGTTCGTTTATGTTCTTCGTTTACGTTTGTTCATGTTCATTCATATAAGTTCATTTTATCTTCATATATGTTTAATTGTGTTTGATTACATTACTATATTATATATTCATTTATGTTCATATATGTTTGTTTATGTTTGTTTGTTTATGTTCGTTTAGCATGTTCACGAACATAAACGAACGAACATGAACAATGTAATTTGTTAAACCAGCGAACATGAACAAGAAAACTCGTTCGTTTAACCGTTCGTGTTCGTTCATTAGTTCGGTTAACTTAAACGAACGAACATGAACAAGCCTTGTTCGTGTTCGTTTGGTTCGTTTACAGCCCTAGTGATGTGGCAAAACTTCAAAAGTAAGAGGGGCTAAGCTCCCAAAATATATAAATGTTGTGGCAAAACTTCAAAAGTAAAAGACCACATTGTTCCTAAGCATTTTACTTTTAACAAGAAAACGGACTCATATGGGTCGGAAGGATTATTTCATATTTGTTTATTTGCAATAAATTATATCTATCTCTATATATATTAAAAAAAACTTGATGACATCACATTCAACAACCAAAATCATTCATTGTGTTTTCTTGATTAATTTCAACTATTTGATCATTTTGATGATGTCAACATAAAATAAAATAAAATTAATACTAACTAAATTAAGTTGACTACGTTTGAAAAGTTGAAAACTTATTAATGGTGACTGAAAACTTTTAATTAAAATGTATTGAAGTGAAATAAATGTCAGCATAATTGTCAAAACATAAATATGGTTCCTTCATTTTTAAAATCAAGTAATTTGTATATGCCTTTTATAATTATAGAATTTGAAATCAAAGATATCAAAATAATATGATATAAATCACAATATTAATTTCTTCATATCCTTTCTAAAATCGTTGTTCAAAATTATGTATAAGTATAATCTCATTAAGTTGTTATCACAATTTCGTGAAATCTGGACTTTGCAACATCACGTTCGAATACCAGTTTCAAAAGGTTATCAATTTTTTTTATTTACTGATTAATTTCTTACATTTGATTATAGTTTATGTGTTTAGTATATGTATCAATGGCTTATTGGTGGGTTTTTGATAAACATATTTTCTATTCTCTCTCTCTCTCTCTCACACACATACACACATTGTGTGTGTGTGTGTTTGGATTAGATTCTATGTTTGGATTTGATGAAGTAAAATTCAGTTTAATTAGTTCTGTGTTAATTGGATTGGATTATGTGTTTGGATTTGATGGAAAAATAAATAAAAAAAAGTAAAAATGGAGTATCTTCACGAAGGGTTTAGTGTCTATGTATATTAAAAGAGAAACTTGATGACATCACATTCAACAATCAGGGTCATTCATTGTGTTTCACTGATTAATTTCAACCATTGGATCATTTTGATGATGTCATCATAATAGAAAATAAAATTAATATTAACTAAATTAAGTTGACTGCGTTTGGAAAGTTGAAAACTTATTAATAGTGACTGAAATTTTTAATTGGAATGTATTGAAGTGAAATAAATGTCAACATAATCGTCAAAACATAAATATGGTTCCTTCTTTTTTAAAATCTAGTATTTTATATATACCTTTCATAATTATAGAATTTCAAATTAAAGAATTCAAAATAGTATGATATGAATCACAGTATTAATTTCTTCATATCCTTTCCAAAATCGTTGTTCAAAATTATATATAAGTATAATCTCATTAAGTTGTTATCACAATTTCGTGAAATCTGGACTTTGCAACATCACGTTCGAATACCAGCTTCATAAGGTTAGCATTTTTTTATTTACTGATTAATTTCTTACATTTGGTTATAGTTTATATGTTCAGTATATGTATCAATGACTTATTAGTGGGTTTTTGATAAATAAATTTTCTATTCTCTGTGTGTGTGTGTGTGTTTGAATTGGTTTCTATGTTTGG